AGCGTCAACGTCACCATGAGCTGCCCTTGGGGGGAGCGGCCGCAGCAGCTCCGTGTCCCTTCCAAGAAGGACAGGCGGAAACCCAAGGTGACCTGGGCCTGGCAACCCGCACCTGCTGGAATTACCCGTCTCCCCCACCGGTTCCCTCCCTTGCTGTCCCTGCCTGTGACACCCACGGCCCCCCTGCCCACCATGGGACGTGCCACCCATCTCTGCTTTGCCTGGCCGTCCCTGCTCCATGGACTGGCAGAGCTGTGCCCAGCCATGTCCCCCTCACTGCATTTTGGGCTCATTTCACCCAGATCCCGGGCAAAGCCGCCTCCAAGGACCGGCGCCATGACAAGGACAGCGGCTGCCGGTTGCACCTGCAGCCCCACGCGGCCAGAGGCTCCTTCCAGTTCGGGGGGTCCCCAAGCAGCCACTGGGAGGTCGAGGAGATCCCAGACTCCTTCCGAACCAGGTGAGGCTCCTCCTGGGCCAGCCCCACGTGGACTCGGGCACCTGCAGGAGGATGAGGAGCTCCAAGCCCTGCTGCTCTCCCCACAGGTCCCATTTCTCGCTGGAGGTGAAGCTCAGCTCCTCCAACGGGCTGCTCTTCTACGTGGCCGGTGAGCAGGGCGCCTTCCTGGCGCTCTTGGTCTCCAACGGACACTTCGTGCTCCTGGCGGAGCTCGGCGGGCACCGGCTGCGCATCCGCAGCAAGGACAAGTACCGGGACCGGCGGTGGCACACGGTGAGCAGCGGCCCCGCGCTCAACTCGCTCTGCATTTGGCTCCTGCTGCTCACGGGGGGGTAATTCCTGCAACTTGGCCATCACCATCGCATCAGCTCAGCCCTTCCCTGGACCTTGGTCCCAATTGCACAAGAGCTGGAGCAAAGGGAGCAGCGGCTGCACCGCTGGGGCTGGTCACACCTCCCAGCCGAGGACACCTGGGGATTTGCACCCATCTGACATCAGGGCCCATGGGGACCTCTGTGTCCCCTCAGCACTCTGTGCACTGTCCTCCTGCACCTGGTACCCTCCAGCCCTATTCTCTGGTCTCTGCAGGTCTTCTTCAGCCGCGACCAGAGCCGAGCCCAGCTGGTCATCGATGGGCTGCGAGCCCAGGAGGCCACCGTGACCAACGCGGGACCCTTCCTAGCCCAGACCCCCTTCTACATTGGGGGGCCGCCAGCCGGCACAGCCAAGGCCCACATCCCGGTAAGGGTCCCGTGGCCTCGCTGCGCCCGCGGCCTTCCCGGCCCCTCCGTGCTCACTCCTGCGCTCTCTCTCTGCAGGTTGCCTCTGCCTCCAGCTTCCACGGATGCCTGAGGAACCTGCAGCTGGACGGGAGGCCCTTGGGGCCCCCCTCGCACACCGTCGCGGTGACTCCGTGCTATGAGGGCGCCCGGGAAAGCGGCATCTTCTTCTCTGCAGAGGGTGGCTCCATTACCCTAGGTACCCGCCGCAGCCTGGGCTGCTCCCCGTGGATCCTGGTGGCTGCAACTCAAAGCCAGACACCAGCAAGGAGGGACTTGTCTCATGGAAAGCCCCTTGTCCCTGCCCTCCTCCTCACCAGTGACGTTTTCCTTACAGGCGATGCAGTGGCGACCGGGCAGGACTTGGAGGTGACACTGGAGCTCCGTCCCCGCACCGCCTCCAGCCTCGTCTTCCACATCGGCACGAGGAGCAACCCCGAGCTCCAGCTGCACATGGACGGGACAAAGGTAGCAGGAGGGTGGCCCAGGTGGCACCCAGCCACCCCCCAGCTCTACTAGCCCCTCCAGAGCTTGGAGGAGAAGGGGTGACACCAAAGCCACCCCCTGCATTAGGGCTTCCTTCCCAGGGAAAGCCTGGCTGGAGAGTCACAGGGTGGGAAGGGGGTCCCCATTCCCCAGCTGCACCTTTTCCTGCAAGATGCCATGTCCCTGTGGAGCAGCTGGGCGTTTTGCAGGGAGAGGAGCAGACCCTCATCCGCGGGCTCTGTTTTGCTGCTCTAGGTGACCGCGAGCGCTGGGGGGCTCTCGACGTGGGTGACTCGTCCAGCTCTTTGTGACGGCCGGTGGCACCAAATCACAGGTGAGGGGACAGCCCCGGCCGGGCTGGACCTTGGCTCCTGCAGCTCTGCTCCCATCTCCTGGGAAGGAGCCTAGGCCCCTTCCTGGGCTATTTAAGGCTGGCCCCAGCTCCCACCTGTAAGTAATTAACTTAGGAGATTGTAATTGCTGCTAAGTAATTTTCTAATTAACTTACCTAATATTGGTAGTACCCTGTGCCCTTTTGCAGCCCTAGTCTGAATTCCCTCTGCTATTAACACTTTCTGCTAGGAACAAGCATCCCATTGCCTCTAAATTGGCTCAACTGGTGTCCAAAGAGTTTAAATCTGACAGCTAAGATCAGTGTTTTAGCGGAAGAGTATTTTGTATCACCTGGGAGTTGCAAAACTCAGCAATTAGAGTATTTGCTAATGAGGCAGTGCTAAGGTTTTGCAGCAGTTTGGTGGGGAAGCACAAGCCCATATGGGAGCAAGGAGATGCAATTGCTCCCTGGGTGAGGACTCTGCACTGACCATTGATTCTGTTCTCAGTTATCAAAAGGAAAACCATAATCCAGATTGATGTGGACACAGAAAGAAACTACACGGTGGGTCTCAGCCATGAGTCCCAGCCTCCTGCAGCCGCTGCGAGGGTGACGTTCCACCTGGGAGGGCTGCCAGGTGAGTGTGGGAAGGGCTGGGAGCAGAGCTCCGCGCTGGAACAAAGCACCACAAGGCCTGAGGTCCCATTGCTGCTTTAGGAGCCATTCATTCCCTGCTCAGCCTCCAAGGAGGTCGTTGCACAGCATGTCCTTTTGTCCCCACCACCGCAGCGGCTGAAGGTGGGAGCCCGGGGCTGTGTGGACCTGCTGGAGGGCTCAGCAGCTGATGGTGCCACGGGGCATCGCAGGGCTGACACAGGAGCAGCGGGGCCGAGGCCTCCGTGCTCCCGTCCCCTCGCCAGGCCGGGCAGCGCCGCTCGCACCCGGCCTCACGGCAGGTTCAACCTTCTCCTTTTGCAGAGACAGCCCTGAGCAAGCCCGCGGGGCCGCAGCCTGCCCTCCCGCACTACGTGGGCTGCGTACGGAAGCTGGCGATTAACGGGAACCACGTGAACCTGCTGCAAACCGGGGCTGTCAGGGGCTCGGTTGGCCTCAGGGGTTGCCCCAAGCTCTGAGTGCACCTCGCCGAGAGGCTGGACTCGGAAAGCTGCACGGCTGGCCCCGCCGGGCACCACGTTTGGAGAGCAGCGCTCAAACACACTCCATCTGCAGAGCCTGCAGGGGCCCAAAGCAGAGAGGGGCCAGGGATCCATGGGGCAGGAGGGCAGGGGAGGAGGGGGCACTTCAGGGACGTCTTTTACAAAAATAACCAAAAAGTTTGAGCAGGAGCTAGGACTAAGCCCCCCCCCCCCCCCCTCGCCCCGAGCATCCCCAGCAGGGGCTCATCTTCTCTCCAGGGCATGGCCTTAGGCACGCGGTAGCCACGTGCTCGCATCCCAAATCCTGCTCCCTCTTCCCCCACCTCTACCTTGCACATAGATTTTAGTTCACAGAATACTTGAGATTATTACTAACAGTCACAGACTGTCTTTTGCTAAGGCTCTTGGCAGCCTTTGTTTTATAATAAATGCAATTAGGACAAACTGGATTAATTTTGTCACTTTTGTGACAAGTGCAAGGAAGTATTTAATGCCCCAAGGTCACGCTTGGCTCACGGGCCGCTGCTGTGCAAAATGCTCTGCCACAGGGTTTTTCAAGATGAAATTCTGTTTACAGAACTAGCCTCTTCTGTTCAGATTAACTCAAAACTATTTAAAAAAATAAAGATAAAATAAATAGAGACAGGCTGGAAGAACTGCTGAGGGAAAGATATCACAACTGCCACACCTCGAGTCTTAACTCTGCAGTTACACTCAGTGCCATTAGATACACTGACAAAAGTCCTGTTATATGAAGTAAGAAAGCATTGCTTGAAAGGGAAGAAATAAAGAAAAATTACCTCTAAGCCTGGCTGGGTTTGAGATATGTTATTTTCGCCCTCACCTGCCCTTCCAACAGTTACTTTCTCCTGCTGGGCTTAACTCACTCCTGCTGTAGTGCAGTTTTCACTTGAAATCAAAACCATTTTCTCCCAAGCCACCTGGTTCACTTGTGCACTTAAACATCATATATATTTGTGAGTATATATATATATATATATATCTAGACACATGAGGACAAAATCTTGCTTCTGAAATGGACTTATAACTTATATCTTTTTTTATGAGGGGTAAATATTGTAAAATGGGTTTTTAACATGTCTATCTTAAATGTAATTATGACCTGTTTTTAAGCTGTAGTATTAAAGATGGTCTTTGTAAATCACTGGTACATCCTTCGGAGTTGAATAAAGTTTTATGTTACTCTCTTTCACTTGACCAGTGAAGAGCAAGCATGAGTTTTATATAGAACTGGAAGAGAAATAATCACCATGTCAGGCAGCATCAGCACGGGAGCCTACCTTTACACCTGCTACAAGCAGTTCCCTCTCTGGCAGCGTCTCGGAGCTGCTGCCCTAATTCCTAGGCTGCTCCCTGCACCATTAGCGCTCGGGAGTTCATGCAGTTGAACCTCACGGAGTTACTGAAGGGACAGGACGCTCCACGCAGCAGCGCATGCGGGACAGCAAACTGGCAGCTTTGCAGAACATGACCTGGTGAGCAAAAAGCTGCATGTGAGTCAGCAAGACACCCTCACAGCTACAAAGGACAACCACATCGGGTTGCATGAGCAGCGGTGCGGCCGGCAGCCTGAGGGAAGTGACTGTTCTGCCTTGGCACAGTGTTAGTAGCTACTTACTCCAATACTCTTTACAGCAATGCAAAATGGCAAAACAACAAAGTAACTTCCCATTTTCCACTCAGAAATAACTGAGCATCTACCCAACTACGGAATGAAGACACTACAGTAGCACAGCAAGTGCTACCAAAGTGCATGCTAAATAGACAGAGAACCCCAGTATGGCAGATAAAGAAAATTCCTTTATTTGTAGATTTATATAAGCATAATATGAAGTTAGTAATCCTACTACAGTTGCTTAAGTTAGTATCTAGGAATATCTGCAAGGAAAAGCAAATAACTTAATCTAAACTCATATCTTCCTCTTCATCTTTCTTGTCCTTAGAGTCGCCTTCCTTTTGGTCTGACTTGACACTGTTCTGCATTGCTTTGGCAAACGCTTCTACATCTAAAAGTTAAACACATTGGTTACTTAACTCAGGGATGGGATTCAGTTTCCACAAAAGGTTAAGCTTCCTTAGTCAACAAATAAACACTTCCTTTAGAAAAGTTCTATTAATAGAGAAGACATTTTTAACATTCATTCAAATATAAAGCACATTTGGAGCCCTCTGACATCACCAGTATTTTATGGAGTTTAGCAGTGTACCGACAGCCTAAGAACAAGGTTAGTTGAATGGAAGGGATTCTAAAGGCTCATCAGGGAACACTGACACCCTCCCTTCCCTCATAGCACTTAAGGCCCCAACTGTGCACTATTTCAAATGATCCATTAAAGATCCTCACAAAAGGAAGCATTCCTAAACTATGACATGTCCAAATCTTATGTAGCTCGTTCAAGAAAACCGTCACAAAGCTACTCAGCACATCTGTTTGCAGTACCCTGAAGTCTCCAGTGTCAGTTTGACATTGATAGTTGCAGATACTGAAGAAAACCTGTGCCACGTACATTTCCATTAAAAAAAAAAGAGAAGTGGAAGAGTCAGCTTTTGAAAGCTGCTCATAATCCACATGCAACAGTTATGTAAGTGTGAAAGGGCTCCATAATCATGCTCCCAACACCAGAAGTACTTACCACCTTTATTTGCTGCATCTACTGCCTCTGCTGGTAAGCCAAACTGGCTCATTAGAGGGCCAAGCTGTCCAGAAGCCAAGGCAGCACTGAACATGCTCAACGCCTGCAGATTAAAGTCAACAGCATCAAGTTTTCACTGTGTTTCCTCAACAGCACGGGGCACCTAATGACAACAGCAGTCCCTAAATTCCATAAGCTATTGCAGGATGTTGACCTACCTGGGAGCAGCTTCCCTCCTTTACAAGAAAATGACTGCACTGTGGTCAGCCTCTGAACTGCCCCCATTCACCACAGGCCCTGGGAGCATTTTGCACTCACCAAGACCAATATTTCTTTTAACCAACTAGATGCCAAATAGCCAGGGCCACTGCTGTAGAAACACAAATTGATAAGCCCGGACAGCAGCCCAGCAAATCACAGTGACCTAACTTCCAGCTAATTTACAACATGGACAATTTAAGCTTTTCTCTACCTGCAGAATAATGCGTCAAATAGCGAGTGAACAACAGCCCTCACTTATGAAGTCTTGTCTGCACAAAAGAGTAGTCATAGTAACCTAAAGACATCCTTCTTAGCTAGTGAAATTCTGTATATTGACAAATTTCAGTCTGCATAGGTCAGGATGGCCTACAATAAAACAGATTTAATCTGACAAAATATGCCCAAACATACTTTGAAATAAGTACTAGTGTTTTAAGGGATGTAAACACCAGCGTCTCCTTCCTTGGTCACCTGTGCAGTCATTTTAGACTAGTTTTAAGTGCAGAAACCATTTTTTTAAAAACAAAATGATGAATTGGCTGCTATGTCTGCTGTAATTTGCCAGAGATGACATTTATAATACAGAGAAAGATGAAGCCCAGTGCCAAAAGAGAAAGTAAAATAGTCTAATCTGCCCTTGGGCAACCACAGAAAGCAAGGAAGAACAGTGTTTCACTGAGTCATGTCCCTTCCTGCTTCCACTTCTACAGAATAGCTTCCTACTCTGCACAGTGGCAGAAACCTGGAAAAGCAGCACACAAGTCACCTCTTGCCAGGGAGGAGGAGAGGAGAGCGGCACTGACGTGACAGCCAGGCACCCACCTGCTGAAACTGAGGAGAAGTCAGGGTATTTTGAATCTCTTCTGCTGTCTGTGGCAGAGACTCCCCTGAAGGGAGGTAAGGCATCAACCGCTCCTGAACTTCAGCATTGGCCAGGATGGGAGCCATTATCTCAGGAGTCAGCACAGTAGCCAAGTCAACTAGGAAGAAAATAAATGGTTGATTGTTAGACTATGCACAAAAAAACATGTTTTGCCACGTTAACCAAATGATTTTGTCAGTGGAGTACTGAAATGTATTGAGCATATTACTGGCATCCTTTCTCCCTCTCAATTTTGGAACAAGATTAATATTCTTGAAGCAATCAAGAACAACAGCATTTAAATCAATTTAAAAAAAATTAAGAGACCTTTCAAACCAATTTGGAACAGGATAGGACAGCAAAACAGCTCCAAGGACTCCTGGATCCAACAGCTGTCTGGTCAGAACACTGTTACCTTGTCCTCCTGCTCCAGATGGCACATTCATAGTAGCTAAAATGTTCTGAAGGTCACTCAATTGAATGGGCTGGGTTGGGCTTGTGGCTGAGCTGGTTCCATTACCCGAACTCGGTACAGGGCTCGGACTGGTCACGGAAGCGGCCGCAGGAACGGACGGGGCGGGCGTTACACGCGTGGAAGAAGTCGTGGAAGATGGTGTCACAGCAGCGGACTGGCTGCGAGAGCTGGAAGGTAAGTAGTAACAACTAATTAGTAATAACTAATAATTAGTAATAGCTAATTACCTACAAAAAGAGTTCGCTCTCCCCAACCTCTTTTCAAGCCCTTGCAATATAAAGAGCTACCACTGATATTCTAGAGAGGTAATAAGCAGTCTTAATTCCCATTTTATTTTCTGCTCAGTAGGCCACAAACTCCTCCCGCATAAGTGACGATTTTCCATTATAAATTATAACAAACCCAGAGCACACAGGTATCCTACCTTGATGATGAACTGCTGGTCGGTGGTCCCCCACTTCCAAGTAAACTAGCCAGCCCAGGACCCGTCAGTGCACCCAGCCCACCTTCCATAAAGATAAAAAAGGAACAGGTTTAGAAATTTCTATTAATTTTTCACCTCTCTGGTCCAGAGAGGTCATTCTTGTACCTGAAAGGTTTTAATGGCTAAAACAGAGGAGGAGGGGGTGAAAAAGCCTAGACCAACCCCTCCCACCTTCTGTAAATAAAGAGCTCTCATTTTATGATCTTGCATTCCTAGTAGAAAACTTCTTAAAGACAGTTA